TCCTCCTCTTCCTCCTCTTCCTCCTCATCCTCCTCTTCCTCCTCCTCAGTGACTGTATATAAAGACGATCACTGACTGTAGTTAACAGACCAGCTGTTTGGTCAGTAGTTGGTTAACCGCTTGTTTTGTTTTGTCGTCTGCATCTGCACATCCTGCAGGGATCAGACGACACCGTCACAGATCCTCAGCATTATCTGCTCCGTCATGATTGGCTGTTCACAGGTGAACTGACGTTGTTTTCTCTCCTCCTCATGTGACGTCTCGTGAAGGACGGCTGGTCAATGTTAAGCTCGGTGGTCAGGAAGTCTGAGGTGACACAAGGGATCATGGGAGATGCAGGTCCCCTGCAGACCGAGGGAAATGCCCTCCTCAAAGCCGTCTTCCAGGGAAAGCTGAGGCTAACCCGCCTGCTGCTCGAAGGTGGTGCCTACATAAATGAGGGCAACGAGCGTGGAGAGACCCCCATCTCTGCCGCCTGCTTGGGGAGCTACGACGACCCGCAGACCCAGCAGAGAATGCTGCGTTACCTTCTGGAGAAAGGTGCGGACCCAAACATCCCAGATAAGAGTGGAAGGACAGCGCTGATGCATGCGTGTGCAGAGAAGGCGGGGAAGGAAGTGGTGACATTGCTGCTGGAGAACGGAGCTGATCCCAGCCTCAAAGATTACTCTGGATCCTCCGCCCTGGTCCATGCTATTAACAAAGGCGACCACGACACCCTGCAGGTCCTGCTTGATGCCTGCAAGGCCAAAGGCAAGGAAGTTATTATTATCACCACTGACACGTCTCCGTCAGGAACCAAGAAGATAAAACAGTACCTCAACTCTCCCCCCTCCCCAGCTATCGTGGATAAGTTGTCTCCGGACTGTATGTCTCCCTCGGAGGTGGAGATCGCTACCTCCTCACCAGGAAGAGATAAGAGCGACGAAGGAATCTTCAGCTTTGCCCTGACCTCAGCTTTACCTTTACCTTCAGCTCGAGCTCCAGGTGAGAAGAGGCCACCACCTCGCAAACTGCTGAAGAGGCTGAACTCGGAGCCCTGGGGCCTGGTGGCGCCCTCTGTGCTGAGCAGCGTTTCTCCGGACCGGGTAGACAGAGATCTGGAGGAGGAGAGTTGCTGTGATCTCAGCAGGACAGTTGCTGATATTAACGGCCTTTCTATCACAGAGCCGGTCAGACCTCTGCTGTCACGACGACACAGCATTGAAACCCATGACCCCTGCTCCCCCAAACTCATCGACCGGTCCTGCTCAGAGGACTGCCCCACCCTCTCTGGCTCTTGGGCTGACAAAGTTCAACAACACCAGATCTTGTATCGTAGGAACACAGCCCCGGAGTCACAGGAAAATGCTGGAGGACCGGTGGCAGTTCCAGCTCGGGTGCTGGCTTATCCGAAACTGACCCGGATGGAGCACTATGAGTCAGACACTCACCTCTGTCCAGAGTCCATCCCTGGATCTCCAGACTCGGGTCGGGTGTCTGTGGAGCGGAGAAGGTACAATGCCTCCCCCTTGTCCCTGTTCACCAGTTCCCCCAGGGAGTCTCTGGAGAACATCCCCAACTCTGTGTCCCCCATTACCGTGCGCCGCCGTCCCCCAGGAATCCTGGAGCGAAGGGGCTCTGGAACTCTCCTTCTGGACCACATCTCCCACACCAGACCTGGCTTCCTGCCTCCACTCAACATCAACCCTCAGAGACCCATCCCTGATATCCGTTCAAATGGCAAGCCCCCCTCCCCGGTTCACTCTGCACACAAGATCCTGGTCCCAGTGGCCCCGGCTTCGCCCAAAAGGGGGCAAGACTTCAAGATGAAGAAGAAACTCACGAGAAGACACTCAATGCAGACGGAGCAGATGAAGCAGCTCTCCACCTTCCAGGAGATTCTGGCTGAGAAGGTCATTGAGTCCAATGGAGATTGATGACAGGAGGCTTCAGAGCAAGGCATGATGGGTAGCTGCAGAGATGTAACCATGCATCTGATGAACATTTAAAACCACATCTTTTTATCTGTGGAGAGCTGCACCTACGAGGATTTCTTAGAACTGAAGAGTTCCGACTCAGTTCATTTAAACCGGATTTAAATCTGAAACTAGAATCTGATCCTGAGTCAACATCAGTTTAATTTAAAGTTGTAACAAACAGAACGTCCTGAAAATTCTGACGATGTTTGACGATGAAAACTTCATATAGTGAATCTCAGAGGTGACACCTGTTTGAACAGCTTCAGGTTTGTTACCCATTCACATATGAATCTAAGATATTTTTACGTCACCACTGAACTGTTGATGAATCCAGAGTCCGGACTTAAGATGAGCAGGTCTCTTCTGTTCAGGTCCCAGTCGCTCAAGTTAACTCTGAGCTGAACCGATCACAAACTCTCAACAATAGAACATTTCCTTCAGTCGTGTATAAAAAATATTTATTTCACAGAGAAAAGCTTTAATGTCTCCTGTTCCATGATTTAAACTTGACGATCAGATGTGGTTGAGATGAATTTACTTTGAAACTGAGGACTGTGAAGGCAGCACCACCTGCTGGACAGATACAAACAAAGGAGAAAATATAAAGTCAATGAAATTCACATTTGGTCATTAAAGTTAAATGTCACATTTTTAAAGACAGGTCAGAAATGAATGGAATTATTTGGTTTCATAAAATCTTGCTTCACAGAAAGGAAACATGAAACTGTGGAGTTCAGGTTCCATCGAAGTTTTCTGGGTTCAAATGTCTTCAGGTTCCTGAAGCTTCCTCTTTGATCTACTTCAGTTAAAAACTGATGAATGTGAAAATGCTCAGACTTGATGTTTACAGATGCACTAATTTGCACCAAGGTTGTGTCCATGTTCCAGCTGAAGAAGAAAACATGATGTTGACGGTCGGAGGCTCTGAAAACTAAAAATAACGTAATACATTTTGTTTTCATTCATTCATAATGAATCGACTTTGCTGTTCATACAGTAACTTTTCACTGTTTCAGTGTAAATGAATCTTTATTTCACAGAGAAAACGTCGCAACACACAAATCTTAAAGTCGAACTTCCAAAGACGTTGTGTTGTCTGTAAATACTGGAATGACTCCTGGTCCACAACAGTTACAGGTCAACGGTCAAAGGACCGAGTCCAGTTCAGACTGATCCAGGATAAAAACATTTCACAAACTGAAACTAAAGAAAGTTTCATGAATGATGAAAACGAGAAAAATAAACAGTAAGAAGCCTGTGACGTCGTCGTGACGACCAGGCAATGAATCAAACAGGCACACATCGTCATTAACAAACTGCAGCTGATGATCAAATCAAACACACCCCGAGTTCAGCTGCTCCATCAATTCCCACTCATCACTGGGGTTGCCATGGTTTCTGAATCTTCCCTGTGACGGGAAAGATTGGATCAATTGAAAAACTTCAGGAAGTGAAATTGTAGTTTTTCTCCTGGTTCTTTTACAGGACACTTTCCTCAGCTGATTCGCTGGAGTTGATGTTGATCTGGATTCCAAAACTGTTTTTCCATCTGACATGATGTGAACAGTGGATCCAGGACTAACTCTGAACCTGATCTTCATCTGAAACCTCGGACACATTCGCATAAATGTTCCTTTGATTTGTATGTGAATAGAAAGATCAAAGGCTCCAGGAACCATGAGTACTGAACTCTAAGAGCTTTGTGTCTTTGAACAGAAAGATTTTAAACTTTCAGGACAGAGTGTTCATCCTTATCTGGTTCAGACTGGTTGAATCTGGTTCAGACTGATTGATTCTGGTTCTGACTGGTTGGATCTGGTTCAGTCTGGATCTGGTTCTGACTGGTTGAATCTGGTTCAGTCTGGATCTGGTTCTGACTGGTTGGATCTAGTTCAGACCTGCATCCGAACCGTGCTGTTGTTGATGCTTGAAGTTTAAACTAAAAGTATTTTTATAATCCCATCATCTGACAGAAACGTCTCTATTGAATCTGTGTGAATCTATTTTTCTTCTTTCACTTTGGTTGTGAAACAAACTGTGGAATAAAAACTTGTTTCATCTTCTGTTGTAACAACTTTCACAGCCTCATGATTATATATATCAATATATCCTGGTCTCACCCGGTCCTCAGATCGAAGTGGACTGATGGAAAACCAGCAGGGACGACACTTCTCTTATTTAATATGATCATTTAGTCTGAAACTAAGTTCAACACGGAGTCGTTACTTAACCAGGTAACCAGCCAGTTACCCAACTAGTCAGTCAGTTAAATTTGAGGATCCACCACATTGCTTTTTTTTTAAAGAAGAAACAGACAAATGTCAGTCAGATGATATTATTGATCAGATGTTATTGATCAGAAAAATTTAAATGACTGACAGTGATATGCAGGTCACAAAGATAGGAAAAAGATGCTTCACTCTAATTCATATTGAAGGATACAAAAACACATTCTGTAGTGACACATTAAAACCCACTCAAATTTAAACAGTGAGACATCTTTTCACCAGACACTCTTTTAATTAGAGGACTACAGTTCAGGTTGGTGCAGACAGAACTGAAGGAAGAAGAAATCTCACTTTGTTGAACAGAAAGATTCCATAGTGACATATCATTACAAAGATGGGACAGATTCTTCACTGTATAATGAAAGGTTGATTATTAGGCATTTGAATTGGTCTCACGTTCACAAAACATCATAAAGCTTATTTGATTGAATATAAACAGAGATAGGAGTTAAAGATGTGTCACTCTGTAGGACACAGTGGCATATAAACATAGTGTAATGAGATGTAGCAACAGAGATAGGAGTGTAAAGTATGAGCATCACTGGGTTCATTTTTTGAAGAACTTCTTGTTGAGCAGGAAAATGAGCAAGTTGACATTTATCTTCGCCTTATCAAACATCTTCATCACGGCCACGCCCTCATACTGCAGCTGCAGCAGATCCTGCAAAACACACACACACACACACACACACACACACACACACACACACACACACACANACACACACACACACACACACACACACACGTTTTAGTGGTGACCATACCAGCAGGACTGATGCTTCCAGTAACATGATGAACGTTGGCCTGGTCTGTACCTGGTATTTGAGCAGAAATTCTTCCATCTCAACTCCGAGGAATCGAGTTTTGACTCTGAAGCTTCCTCTCTCTGGTCCAGGAACGATGTCAAACACCACGTTTTTAAACCTGGAACCGGGAAACACACATAACTGTTTACGACTCTAAAACAGTTGACATTAAATGGAGAGTTCACAGAAAAATGAAAATTCCTTGATGATCTCCTCCACACTATGATGGAGGGGGGGTGAAGAGCACAATCCAATACAACTGAAGTACTTGGTGATCACTTCTTCAAACGAAGGAGGCATGTTCACATTCACACACACAAGCTCTTGCCCAAGGGCATGCACAGGGTGCACAGTCACATCACTACTTCCACTAGTGGACATTAAGGCTAAAAACACGATGTGAATGACGCCATTTTGAGCAAATTTGATGTCGGGCTCGTGGACACTTGTTTCTGAAGAATCCGTCTTGTTACTTCAGTTGTGTTGGATTCTGCTCTCACGCTGCTCACGCCTGAAACTCCAGAAGTGTTTCATAGTGGTGAGTAGATAATGAGTTTTTAACAGTTTATGTTAAAAAGTGTGACATTTATAATTTGCGTTGTATAATAACGTGACGTATACACGTGTGTTCTCACTGTGTCGGAGGCAGGTCTTCGATCTCCAGCAGAACTCCCTTCTCCTGCAGCCGGGTGGCGCTGTAACTCAGCACAGGAGGCTTCTTCTTCCCTGTGCTCTCTGCGGTCTTCTTTTTGTTGGATTTACTGTCAACCAATCACATTGAGTCAGTGTTTGAATGAGGAACTCAAACAGCCAATGAAAGTGGGACGTTCCATCTGTACCTGGCAGTCAGATTGTCCAGACAGGAAGTGATGTAATGTCTGTAGTAATCAACCTGTTCAGTGTGGAAGCTGCTCTTCACCTGCAGACTGCTCAGAGTCTGACGGAGCTTTAGTAGCTCCGCCCCCCGACGCTGACGGTGCAGACGCTGCTGACGAATGTCCTGCGAGTGGGGGGATGGGGAATCGTGAAAGTTACGTCAACCATGACAAGTCCGTCTCTATGGGAACCGATGTCATTTAATCTGCTGAGGATCATTAAACTGGTGGATAACCAGGTTTTAAAATCACATGTTTAGTTGTAAAAACAAATGACAATGGTTCTTCTGTTGTTCCACCTCACGATCGATGATAACGTCACGAACTCAACTAATGAAACTAATGAACCGAAACCTGAACGAATTTCAGCATTCAAGTAAAATGTCTGAAATATTTTTATTCAATTATTAGAATGTCGAGAACATGTAGATACTTTAGTTCTGTGAAATTCTTTTAATTAGATTATGTCTTTATTGTAATTTAAATCAGAGGCTTCGTACAACATCTGACGGGTTTTAACCGTTTCATGAAGGATTTTTTCAACAGCTCTGATTGGTCAGCAGTGGAGGAACAAGAAGTGTGTGTGTGTGTGTGTGTGTGTGTTGCATCACCTTGGCAATCATCTGTAAGATTTGATTTTCAGTCTGAGGTGATGTCAGGACGCCGAGTCCCTCTAGACGACGAAGACTCCTCAGAATCTTCCTCTTCTTCTCCTCCAGACTAAGGTTGCCGTTAGCGACCAACGACTGGTTTCTCTTCATCTTTTCAGGGGTTCGCGCATCTTGTCGTGCTCGTCGCTGCATCAGCCAATCATGGCAGACTTCCTGTTTGGACAGAGCACTTACAGTTTCTGTCTACTGTACAACTGTAACCTAACCTGACCAAACTTCACCTAAACTAACTTAAACTGTAATAACCTAAATTAATTTAACCTGAACTTATGTATCCCAACCTGACCGGACTTATCCTGGCCTAGCTTGACATAACCCAACTTGACCCAACTTAACCTAACCCGTCCTTCACCCTGTCCTCGTCTGTGACACATCACGGAGCACCAAATGCCAATTTGCCTCCGAACCGTGACTTTTGTTGGCAACTTAAAAAAACCCATTAAAAACTTGTTTGTGGCTGGAGGCTTAACGAGCTCAGTTACCGTAACATGTCAGCTATTGCTACACAGTTTAGCTAACATTTACTTAGCAAGCTCTTTTCCTAACTCTGGCTTTCGTCTGTTTCAATCACTTCTTTACTTCAACTGTTAGCGACCAGCTCATCTCATTAACTCCTGTAACGATGTGAGGGTTAAGTCGCTGTAACTTTATAAACACGTATGAAGGTATGAGCATGTGTGAGTTACCTGGTCATGTGATGGGGATGTTCTCAGGATGTAACTCAAAGTGTCACCTGGTTGAGTCCTGATGACGTCGATGATCAGCTGCTTTGTGCTAATTTTTAAAGAAAGTTTTAAAATCATCATAAAAGGCAAAATAAAGGACTGATCTTAGTCCCATGAGCAAGATGACAGACTCGTTTACATGAGCAGGTGAAGCTAACAGGCTCAGTTACCTGAGCAGCAGACCTCTGGCATCTGGTTTGTCATCAGAGTCGTTGAAGATGTCGAACTTGTTGGTGAGAGTCAGAGAAACTTCGGTCTTACAGCTGTGAGTCAGAGCCGACTCTGGGTCTGATGAAGATAATGAAGACTCTCCTGGAGGACAGAAAACATTCAGACTCAGATGGGTTCAGCCCTGAAGATCCTCATGTTCCTCATGGTGGCGCTGATTCATCGAGTCCTGAGGCTGTTCACAATTTACAGATTTAGTCACATCAGATCTCAGGATCTCAAATCTATAGAGAAATCTATATAGCACAAAGTTATAATTAATAATAATTCATATTTATAAACAGACTGCGGAGCAGAGTGAAGTTAGAAACCTGTGTGTTCATCCTACCTTGTTTATCTGCACTGAAGATTTTATAATCCAAGTTTTTCATCGAATGAAACTGAATTTTCTTTATTACTGTTCACATGTGGTTCATATAATTCTGAATGATTTACTGAACTGATGTTATTGTTTCATACAGTTAAACATACAACAATCTTACTATTGAACGAATCACGTGTTAAAAGGAAACTCAACACTTAAACACTGAACTTTCTCTGTGATTTAAAATAAACACAAAGACAGACAGAGAGATGCTTGTGAAATTAATCGGTAGATTATATATTCTGTCAAACATTCATTTATTGTATTTATGCTGCGGCTTTGTTTCTTTGTTTAATTAATGAATCAACTATCAATGATAAAGTGGAACAATGCTGTAGAAGTTGCAGTACCAATGAGTTCCTGCAGGGGGGGCACTGGTCCCAGGTCTCGCAGCAGCAGTCTGAGCGGATCAGAGGAGTCCGCACACAAAACGTCCTGATGCTCCAACAACAGCTGAGCAAAGAAACAGAGGAAACAGTAAACTGCGTCCAGGTCCAGACTGAGGTCCAGGTGCAGACTGAGGTCCAGGTGCAGACTGAGGTCCAGGTGCAGTGTGTCCTCACCTTGTGTGTGTTGAGCAGCTCGCTGACAGAGATGTAGATGACGGGTCTGCTGACGACGAGCAGCTCGGAGAACTCATCCACGCTGAATCGCTCCTCAGGTTCAGGAACGTCACACACACTCAATAGGAACTTCCTGTTGGACGCAAGGAACCATCAGATGTCGTTCTGGAGAACCTGAACCAGTCATATGGTTACCATGGTTACACGGACACTGACCTGAACCTGTTATGAGTCTGGCTGATGTACTGGTTCAGAGCTCTGACGTGGTATCCGTCTCCGTGGAAGCGTTTGTTGGCAGCGCCGTGTTGCAGCATGCGAGCAATGGAGCCCAGGACATGTCGCTGCTCCGGTTGTAGGGACGAGCCGGCCGACCGGTCCACCACATCGAACCCGTCCGGAGCCACAATGGCCGGGTTCATGTAGCGATAGTAGACCAGGTTACCTACGATCTGTTCAAATATTTAGACATGCTCAATTTAGACACGTGTATGTTTATATGTTCATTTATATGTTAATGTATTTCACACATGCATGTACATCAAATATATATATACATCACATCAAATGTATATTTTTTTTCCACAGGTGAAAGAAAATCAATAAATCAATCACTGATAGGTGATAGATGAAATAAGCTTTTATTGTGAAGGAGCTCTTCTGGGCTCCACTTCCTGTTGCTCACCTTGTAGAGCTCATCGTCGCTGGCGTCAGGAAACTTTGTCTTCAGAGCGTCTCTGAGAACCTTTGCTGTATAACGTAAACCATACCTGAGAGGACAACGTCAGGAACACAGGTGAGTGGTGAACAAGGGAAGTGGTGGACAGGTGAAGTGGTGGACAGGTGAAGTGGTGGACAGGTGAAGTGATGGACAGGTGATGGACAGGTGATGGAAAGGTGAAGTGGTGTAGACGTACGGCAGCTTGTGCAGGTTGCATGTGATGGCGTTGAGTACTCGGTCTGTAAGGTTCTTCAGGTTGATGATGGAGACGTCGATTCTTCTCTGAACTTCAGGGTGAGACAGAGCGTCCTCAGGTGAAACATCATAAGGTAGAGTGCTAGAGATGGGTGAGATAGACAAGACAGGTGAGACAGACAGAGGGGTGAGACAGACAGGTGTTCATGTGTGTACTCAGACTCAGTTCAGACCTCTTATGTCCGGTCTGGCTCTCGGTCTGGTTGATCCAGGTCTTGTAGACGTCCACCGGGTCAGTCCTGATGCTCAGAGACCGGTCCTGCAGGACGTCCTGCAGAGCAGGACACAGCGCCTCACGCAGGACGTTCTGACCATGAGCGCGACGGTAAAAGTTCACCAGCATCTTGATGACGGTGGGATTTCCTGTGACCACATCCTGAGGCTGATCCACCTTCAGTCTGACACCATCACACAGGTTATTGATGAGTGTGTATTCAGTGTGTACGTGTGTCAATGTGCATTACTGTACGTGTGTCACCTGATCTCGTAGCGCAGCGCCTCAGTGAAGAGCTGCAGCAGCAGGTACGCCTCCCGGTGGTCGGAGCCGTAATTAAACAAACTAAACACCAACATCTCCATGAAGGAGGTGGAGCGAGTGTGAGGCATCAAGAAGATCAGCTGAGCCAGGTAGAGAGGCTGCGTCTACACACATGAGGAGGTGAATAAGAGTGTGTGTGTGTGTGTGTGTGTGTCTCACCTGCAGCAGGTAGAACAGGTGTGTGTGTGTGTGTCTCACCTGCAGCAGGTAGAACAGGTGTGTGTGTGTGTGTCTCACCTGCAGCAGGTAGAACAGGTGTTGATAGGCCTCCAGTCTCTCTCTCCTCTCTCGGCTCAGAGCCTTCAGTCCTTTACTTCTCTCTACGTCCATCATGTCCGACAGCTGCTCCTTATTCTTCCTGGTCAGCTTCTTACAGTGAGACACCACTTCCTGTTACAAAGGGCGTGAGGTCACTTCCTGTTAACAAGGCTGTGAGGTTAGAAGAAGAAAATGCACATTGTGGTGTAGTGAGCCCAACGTTCTGATACCACATTTTTGTTATGGGCATCAAATGCACGTAAGTCGATGTTGCGACAGTCAATCAGCGCAGAGACTGAAACTCACTGGACTCAGTCGTGGCACTGACCCGACAGCAGGTGAGCAAGAGGGCGATCGAACTGGTCACTGCTCAGCCTGAGGTGGCGCTGTCATTTCACAAGCCGGTGAAAGTCCCCGAGCTGTGAATACATTTGCGTCTCGCTGGGCATGAACGCACCATCACATTCAGATTTGGTTTGTGAGACTGCCCTCCTGTTTTCCTGTACCTCTGTGAATACAGTGCCCACTTCCCGTCTCTAGGATGTGAAGCTCTGTCAATGTAAATCACGATGACTGTGCTCTTTTGATTGTAGCTCTCACGTCACATCTGTCCTGTCGTTCGTCTCAGATCGGTTCTGTGCAGCAGATTTACCGTATTCTGGAAAACCAATAAAACTCACTCACTCCTGCAAACTCCACTAAATATTGGGGTCTTGGGGTCTGGTGGGGGCGTGGTTTGTGGCTGAAATGGTAAATGTTCTGTTTTTAAACAGATCTTTTCTCTTCTCGTTTGCACTCGAAGCCCTTTACAGATTATTTCCATTCACACGTTCATACAGGACATCTATGGGCAGCACTTTTTTTTAAATTAATTTATTTTTTATTCGGGGCTCAGTATCTTGCCCAAGGACACTTGCAGACAGGGACTGGAATCGAACCTGTGAGTGCAGCTACTCGTCGTCTGAACATGAACAGTGTTGACCTGTAGGTGGCGTCTCACCTGCAGTGTGGCTCGGTTCCGGACCAGCAGGCCAATCTTCAGGTCCATCAGGTCCAGGTCCGCCTCCAGCTGCCGGTTGAAGCGGATGCTCCTCACCACCTCCTCCCTCAGACGCAGAAGCTCCGCCTCCTCTCTGATGTCACCGTCACCGAGGTCGAGCAGGTGAACAAACTTCCTGACCACAGACAGAGGGGGCGTGTCCGAGTGCACTAAGACAGGAGACCGGTGGGAGGAGGAGCAGATAGAGTCAGTCCACATTGAAACAGGATTAACGAACCCGGATCCAGCGGATCATTAGTGAACTTACCCAACATCCTGTACTGATCTCTGGCTCTGCTCGCTCTGAAGAACGACTGGATCTTTATCACAGCGCCCTCCTGTGGACACACACAGCAACTCTGATTAACACACAAGATAGACAAATGGACAAACAGGCAGACAAGTAAACAGACAGACAGACAGGTAAACAGACAGACAG